AATGGAACTAATATTTCTATAACATTTTTATATTCTATATTTCTATAACATTTCTATAATATTTAATGGTGTGCAATAAATTGAAATGTATTTGAGATCGTTTACAACTTCCATGGAATGATTGATTTGAAAATTGTTTATGAACTATAAAAAACCTCAAGTTACTGAAGCATACATCTCTTCTTGTTTAATATTTGTTTATATATGATATGATAATGAGAGCAATATTTTGATGGATATACCATAACATATATCATATTATATTGGATTTCTCTTAGATTTCTCGGTCCACGTCCCTAGTACCCTAGAATCTCATTAAGTTTTACTACAATTATCCCATATTTTGTTGACATTCTATTACAAATATTTACCTATTCTATGGACTAATAAAAATATAAAAAAAATCCTTCATAAATTTGTAAAAATAATCCCTTAACCAATGGTCTTTAAAGTTAAGTCTAATTAAAAATCCCTGGCACCTGATTTCTTAACTAAAACTAACCTGAATCGACTCCAAGACGAGGCCTTAACATGGCGAAAATAAGTCACTTGGCTATCGCTAGGCCAAAATCAGAGACAGGAAAATGAAAATACAAGGCAACCGAAACTAAGAAACAAAATACTGAGACACAAAAATTCAATCGGCGTGGGGGCGAAATACCCTGGATACCGTTGTGGAACCCAAAAAAAATACAAAAATACAAAAACCAAAAAAACCTGTGAGGTTGGGACATGCGCTGCAGGTTTACCCCGCCGCTTTCCCGATCCGATCAGGCTCGGTTTGCATACAAACATATATATTTCTATATATATATAAATATATATTGTTAAGCCGCCAAAGAGCCAGTCTGAATGGATTTTCACCTAAATATTTCAACTGTTGTTTCACGTTGATACTCGTACCTTTCCAAGCTCGCATTGGTCTGGAATTTTAAATAAATGCGATTTAGTTGTGCAACATTTTGCCTTACTTTACTTCAGTTTACTTTTTCTCTCCCAACTTGCTCTCTTTTTTTGGTAGTTGATCTGCAGATTTATGTTCAATAATTTGGTTAAAGTTTAACAATATCTGTACAATCTCACTAGCAACAAACCTATGATTTTCCGGGAAATTATAAACTAGAATTAACTGTAATGATATGCTCTAATTAAACACAAAACAAATGAAATAATAATAATTAAAAGCATGACTAAAATTTCGCTTTACTCTTTTAGAATGATATGCCCTAATTAAACAATACATTTAAAAGCATGAATAGAATTTCACTTTACTTTACTAGAATGATTTGCCCCAATTAAGCATAATTAAATTAAACAATAAATTGAAAAGAATGACTAAAATTTCACTTTACTAGAATGATATGCTCTAACTAAACATAAACAAATTAAAAAATAAATATAAAGGCATGACTAGAATTTACTTCAATTGTAAACAATGAACAATAAGTTAAAATACAATGCAATCAAAATTAATTATGCTTCTAAACCTACTATATGTATTTTTATACATATTTAGCTACAAGAATTATACATTCTACAGGGTATTTGCTCTTTCTGGCCTTGCATAAGACTCTTTCCTATACATTTTTCATTAAGCATTATTATCGGCGGTGTTTCTGTTTCTGTTTTATTGGCAACAAATATCAAGAGAGACCGAACGTCTTGGAGAGGCATTTTTACCAAACCCAAGTTGAGTGGCCATAAAGTACATACATATATTTCATTCTGTATTCCGTCCAGTCTGGTGTGAAAGCGAGAGTTGCTATGGATTTTTGTTGCTATTATGTGTAAAGTTATGCTCGACGCGTAACTGGGCCAGCGACAACAACACCAACAACACCAACAACACCAATAACACCAACAACACCAATAATACCAACAAGTAATAACAACAACAAGAGCCATAATAACAACGAGAAATGTTTACAAAATATTCATTGATTTAAAATGTGGAATTTCGTTGGGTTTTATATTGCTTCCCCCATTTATTATTATTTTGTTATTTTTCCCCCCTGAAACTTGATTGATCAGTCTAAATATGCAATGATGCAATTACGAGGGAGTTTTGTTTTTGTTTTTTTTTCTTTTATAGTGCCTTGGCTTGCTACAATTTAAATTGCATTTTCCACAAGCAACGGCCAACATCGCGTATGCGTAATATTCGGTCAGGCATTCGATAATATTGCGCATACGTACCAAGAAATATTTATATCTATATGGAACCTAACCCTCAATTAAGCGGAAACTTGTGTCATTCGAATATCTCGACTCCATTCCACTCCAAAATTACACAGCAATAAAAAAAACTCACTTGATTAAATAGTGGGGGAAAAAATAGCTTTAGCTATTGGGGAACTGGGCGTGGGAACAGGCAGACCCAGACAACAACTTTATTATGCAAAGTGGCCAGAATGTCATTGGCCAGGTATCCAGATACTGGCTCCAGTCTCCCTCATTCCCATCATGATTAAACCCTACTTAGCCTAAAGTCTTGGTTTATTTCTTAACTAATAAGACAAAGTCTGGGGTTCGTGCCGAAAGGGTTTGGTTTTTATGGGAACAGCCTTAAATCGAACGGAAATAAACACAATTACTGTCAATATTACAAAACTAAATGAAAGGCTTATAATTTATAATTTAACAAACTCTTAGGTGTGCAACAGCTGGCAAAAGTTGTCAACTTTCGGTCTTTACCCACTGATTGACACCTTTTTAACTACCGTGTTGCAATCAAACACCAAAACGAGAAGTTATTTTCTTGACACAAGTGACACATTTCCACTCGATGGCACACTCCCACTAATGCGGTTTTTCCAGCACTGCCTCTAGCCAAAAAAACAGAAAAAATACATGTAAAAATGTAAATCACATTTTCTCCTGCTCCCGATAATCTATAATTGTAATTATAATTGCCAGTCAGTCGACTCCGCAGTTTAGGGAAGCCAATGAAAATTGCCCAACCGCACTTATGCAACGTTTGCCGGGGTCTGGAGTAGATCGAAATGGATCAATCCAAACCCATGGAGTGCAGTGCCACGCCCCGATCTCTTCGGGCGGCAAAACTGAGACCCAGATCGACACGTCGCATATTTAGTTAGCATAATTTGCTCTCTAATTGTCACTGACAGTCGAAGAATGTGCCCCCCCCCGTGGTTTCCAGTCACCAACTGGTTTTTACACTGGGGGAAATCTTATGGTGGCTATGAGAAAATATTTACTTTAAAGTAACTGCGTGGGAAAAACAAAAACTAATCTGCTAAATATCTTATTTAAGATTTTATTTATTTATTTAAGGTTGCAAAATTATATACTTCTTTGCTGTACATTGTGAGAATTCATAAGCTACATTATTAATTATTATATACATTTTAGTATATAGAATACAGAAAGCATTTCTTTAAATATATATTTAATATAGAATTCAGTTTTCAACAACTAACAAAAATACTTCATTATTTTCTTGTAAAAACCTATTAAAAAATCATTGAAGGAGAATGATTTGAACTAACATAAGAAAAACCTCAAACATCACTTATTTAATATTATTTAAGGTAATAATCATGATAAATAAACCATAATTATATATGTATTTGTATACCAATGTATATCAAAATATATATTTAATATATTTTTTTTCTGTGCACTGTCATAGTCAATACGTTTTCCCCCTTTTTTTTTGTAGCAATTACAATTCTGTTCCCATTTAAAATCGAATGGGAGCTACACCCACCACACGGGGTTATTATATAATTATAAATGTATATATATATACATATATATAAAGTCAGAACCGATCATGAGGGACAACCGGTGCGATAAGATCTAAGCAGGAAGCGGGCAAAGGAAGAAAATTGTTAAGTGAAAAGAACCGTAATCAATGTATGACTGAGAAAATGGGATTGGCTAAGATTGAATTACATATTTAATAAAGGTTGAACTAGCTTTTGATTGGCTGTTTATGGAAGAACTTATTCTATAATTGATTTGTATTTATTTATTTTCATAATTTCTAGACTCTTAGCTCTAATATTATCCATAATTATCCAGGCTTCTGAAATACTTTTAACTTAGTGAAGAAGTCGTATCCGACCCTATAAATCATATATATTGATCAGCATTAACAGGCGAACCTTTCTACCTAGCTCCGCCCCAAAAAAATGTTTAATTTTCCATTTTTTGAAAAAAGGAAAAGGGGCTACATCGTTAAAATTGTCAAAAATTAAAAAAAAGGAAATATATATTATTTTTACATTTAAAACTGAGTATGCAGATTTATTAATTTATCAAAAAAAAAACACGAAAAAAACATTCCGAATTGAAATTATTGCTTTTTTTGGCTGAGTTATGAAATTTTTAAACTTTGATTTGTTGAAAAATTTGCATATAAAAATATTAATAAATATCGATTCAATTTTAGTTCAATTTTATTCAATTTCATTTCGAATTAAGCTTAACTTTCATCGAATTCCGATTTTATTTCTATAACTGCAAGGGTATTCGAATTTTGGCATCCCGAAGTTAGTTTCCTTTCTTGTTATTTTTAATTTCGGTACGAATAAGAAGATTAATATTATTATGCTATGTATGTTCGATAAAAATTTATATAAGCTTATATAAATACTTGAATTGAGGTCTTTGCTTTAGAGTTTATTTAATTGCAATCATAGCTTTTGTGTGTATTTTCTTTAGTAACATTTAGTAAATAAATATGTATATGTATATATATATACATATATACATATAATTTATGAATTTATTAATAAATATATCCCTATGGTCTCATGATTATTTACTTTATTCCATTTCCCATTCTATTCTAAAAGCTTTCCATTTACCCATCTATACCCACATCACATCACCTCTATAAAACACCTTGATAGACTAAAGGTTAATGCATTTCCGTTTCCGCGGGCCAAGTGGTTTTTTCTATCTTTGGTTTCCTTTGGAATGTTTTTTTTGTAATGTTTTTCTAACCGTCGAAATGTTTGTGCAACACTCACCTTTGGGTCTTGAGATATCACAGAATGGTTTTTGCGCATAAGAAACCTGCGACGACGACACTTGCAGTTGTTGTTGTTGTTTGTTGTTATTGTTGTTGATTTTGTTGTTGTATTTTTACTGTTGTTGTTATTGTTTTTGTTATTGTTGCTCCAGTTGTATCTATAATTGTTGTTCTGGGTGTTTGCTGCCGGTGTTGTCGCGTTTCCAAGTTTTCTTGGGTTTATATGTATCTTTTTTATTATTTTTTTGTTGGTGTGAACCAAAAGACTTCCAGCAATTTTCTGGCTATTTTCGCGCTTGGCCTTTGTGTGTTGTTTTTTTGTTCCACTTAAGATCTGGTTGTATATATTCACTTTATACAGCCGGGAGTTATATATACGCTACTTTTTATGATTTTTGCAAATTACTTTTTCGTTGGGCAATTTTAGTGTTGTCTGTAGTTGGTGTTGTCTGTAGTTGTTGTTGTAGCTGTTGTTGTTGAAATTGTTGTTGTTGCTGCTGGACACATTTCCGTTGGCAACAACAACATGACGCAGCGTTCTGACCGTCAATCAACGAACTGCAATAAAGGTAACAAAACATTAAATTATTGCTTTTCCCATCATTAATAATTGAAAATTTAAATGTTTGCCCAAGAAACTAATTAATTTTGTCATTATAGAAATAGAAAATAGAAATAAATTTAATTCCAACATGTATCTATTACAAAAAGCAACTTTGTTTGATGCAACACTATAGTTAATCATTAATAAGTATCTCAGAATGAAACCAACTTAACTGCTAGAAGCAAAAAAAAAGCGATATAAACAAGAATGGTAATGAAAGCCAATCAAAAGCTTAATTACTTTTAATTAGGGGATTTATAAGCGGAGCAGCAGCAGCAGCAGCAGCAGCAATTCTGTGGAATTTTATTAATTTGGTTTCGGAATTGCGCCAGCGAAAGGCGGAAGCAAGTATCTCTTATTTTTTTCGGCTTTTCGCAGCAACACTCACACACAAAACACCTGGAGATTGTCACCATCCATTTGGATGAGTGTCCAAACGCATTTGGATGCCACTTGTAACTCGAAGATTCCCAGCCTTCCGCTGGCCATTTGCGAGAGAAATGCGAAATAAACAAACTCGAACTCTATTTTTTCTAGTCACTGACTGTGGCAGTACATCAAAACCACATTAGGCCGAATGAACTAAATGTTTGGACATACACTCATGGGTGTGTGGAGTGTGGAGTGAGTGTGTGAGTACTGCTGACCTATTTATCGAGTGCTGCCAGTTGACTGTGATGTGTTAATTAGTCAAATGTTGGTCAACACACTCGGCGGCCCGACTTTTATTTGGTTTTAAATGGACTTTGGCATTACTCAGTCCCCCTTTTAGAGGGTAGAGTACTTTAAATCAGAAATTGCTTTAAATGTTAATCGGAGAGATATATTTTAGAATTAAATAGTATTTAGGAGAGTAAAGCCACTATTTTGAAGTACTAAAAAATGTTCAATATACCAGACTTTTCATTGCTTTTGTTTTTTAATAAATGTTCAGAAATACAAAGCTCTATAGTCTTTAGAATATATATTGTAAATGTGCCAAAAACTTAATGAAAAGCATATATAATATAATAAAAATTTCATATCAAATTTTGCATAATTTGTATAATAATATACTAGTCGTATATCAATGTTTTTAAATCGAAATACTGCAGCTTTTAAAATAACTATTTTACATTTATAATATCAGAAAGATTCCATTTTAAATTTTGCATTACTTGTACAATAATATAATACTCTTATATTCATGTTTTTAAATCAAAATACTGCAGCTTTTAAAGTAGCTATTTTACTTTTATAATATCATAAAAGGTTATGTATTAAATTTTTGAGCTGTTTGTTAAAAACCTTAATGAAAAATATTCCCCTATATATTATTGGTTCACTGATTCATTGGTTCAAAATGAAAGTATATATTTTACATTTAAAATATTATAAAGATTCTATATTAAATTGTTGCATTAAATGTAGAATAACTTTATAAAGAAAATTTCACCATAACATATGTATATAACTGGTTCATATAATTCAAGATGTGTACCTAAAACATATACATATGTACATATATGAAAAATTATTTATATATATACTGCAGCCTTTAAAATATATATTTAACATTATTAATATTATAAGGATTCTATATTAAATTTTTGGTCAGAAGCGTAGAATACCTTTATAAAGGAAATTTCACTATATATAACTAGTTTAAATATTTCAAAACGTTTCCTTAAAAGATATACATACATACATATGTATATCTTTTTTTATTTATATACATATAATTTTTTATTACATTTATATTTTTATTATATTATAAATCTTTTCTTTATAATATAATTTCCCTCACTACCTTTAACTAAACCTTTATTTTTTGCAGAATGCCGCTCCTATATACCTTTTTCCTGTGTATGCAGGCGAGAGAAATATAAAAAACTACAACAAAAAATACAACAACAGTAAAATAAACACCAACAAAATACAAATACAACAAAAAAAAAAAAATGATTTAATACATTTGCCCGGCAACCGGATATCGGAGTCGTGGCTAAAAGTTGGAACTGAGTAAATGTTTTGCAATTTCCCTAAGATCGCCATGAGTCGTCGACTGCAACTATGTGTATCTGTGAGTAACTAAATGCAGATATATTTGTATCTGTATCTACAACTGCATCTGCATCTGAATGTTGTAACTGCTGCACACACATGTGCGTGTGCCACGATCTTGGCAGCGTCAGTTCCTCAATTAAGCAGTACTTGCATTTACAATTTTATTTGTCTCTGGCATCGCATCCTATACCATCTCATCCATCCATCCATGGTTTAAGCTCCCGAAAAGAGTTAAATCCAACCGGAGTTGGTTAATGGACATGACGGCTTATCGTTAAGCTGAAGGTGTTGATCATCTTGAATTGGACAACATCTTCAAAATGCAGAGAAATAAATTGGTAACAACTTTCACATAGAAATAAAGAGATGCTCTTCAAGTTTAGTTACTAGTTAAAACCTTCTTGACCTAAATGATTACTTGAAGATGTATTATCTTTAACATATTTGAACTTTTCTCCTTCATTTCTCACTGTGTACTGGAACACAACCACTTGATTTACAAGTTCCATTCACAGAAGCTGCAACTTGCATTCACTGAGGTGGATGTGGCTGCCACTCGACTCAACTCGACTCGATTCGACTCATTTGCCGCACTCATCGGGTTCATTCATTACGGGACAGCCGCTCTGCCGCCAATAATTGTTATAAAAAAATGTTTATTGTTTAACTGCTTTTTCGCTTTGATTTCGCCGTCAATTTGGTTTATGAATAATAGAGTTACTGGGGCCCCAAAAAAAAGGAAGGCATAATGATTTTCAGAGGGGGATACTTCACAGTGATTCGGCAGAAAATACTCCTTTTTCCAAAAACGATTTGATCTCGTTTTTATGGCATATCATTCCAATACAAGGTCAAGTTTGTTATTGTTGGAAAGTGAAATAAAATATAATGCAAACGAAGTAACGTTGGTTTTTTTTTGTTAATTAATTTGCAAATATACAATTTACAGCTACACCATAATTTGGATCATTATAAATGTGCCGGGCAGCTGGTCATTTAGAAAACATTTTAGAACAGTTAATGGTTATGAATAAAAACATATCATCTAGTCCCGTCGAATTTGTCCTAAAAAATAAAGAAGAAAATCAACGCGTCCCTTCTTATGCGATTCGCCAGCAATAACTATCCTTGACGAACAATGGCACAATTGATGACCACCACGTGGACACTGGGAGTTGTATCATATACGGGCTTCTCGGTGGGAATTTTCTCCAGGCTCTCCGGCTCACTGGTCTCTCCTGTCCACTCGAACATGGCCATGGAGTGGATCTTCTCCTGACATTGTTTCAATCCATTGACAGCATGCTTGATGCGGCGGCAATGCAAGGCGATCTTGTAGGCAGCCAATTTGTAGAGCCAGGGAATGTCCAGGTAATCTGCGGCCTCCATCAAAGCGCACACGAACTCGATCTTTTCGCGCAGAAACTCCTTGTCCCAGTCATCAACCTGTAGTTCCATCTCATAGGCCGTCACTGGCTCTACCTTGGCCACCCAGGCGGGCTCATCGTCTTTTACATGGAACTCGGCCCACAGAAGCACCTTGAGGAGCACCTCCAGACTTTTGATTCCATGCAAAGGCATCACCTCTTCATCATCATTGTCCTTGCCAGGATTCTTGCCATTGTCCTTGTCATTGTCCTTGGTGCTGGCGAACGATGGCCTGATGCGGCGGCCCATGCCTTGGATAACCTTGGAGCGATCAAGGAGCCCAAAGGGCGCCCGGACCGACTTGCCATCGCCCGCCTGCATACGCACCATTTCGTCCATTTTTTAGATATTCGTCTTTTCCAAATTATGCTTTTTTCTCGAAGGGGGGATTTGTATGGAATGATAGATTTTGAGGTCGGACAACGAATGTTGAAAACTTATTTAGCATAGCTAACTAGGATTTGCAGGGAAAATATTTCTCCCAGAGCAGCCGCCTACTTCGACCGTAATTAATTCTTTTGCGATTTTTGGGAACTTCGATTTAATGTATCTTTCTTTTAACTTACAAAAAATGTTCTAAAGAGACATTTCCCAAAAAAATACCCCCGACTGTTACACTATTTTCTTCCTTTTAGGATTATATGTGTGATCAAAACTCATAATTATCTTGGGACCCAAGTAATTAGCTTTTTACTTGTTGGCCAAAAACAAGGCTTGAAAGTGTTTATAAATTTGATTTTTATTTATTTTTAAGAATCTGCGATTTGTTTTGCGATTTCTAAACTTGATATGTCGAAAAAATTGTCATATAAAAATATTGATAATTATTGATTCAAAGAATACTAATATTTTTTAAACTGTTGTGATCATTTTTCAATTCGATCCTATAATTTAATTGCAAACTGCAGAGGTATAAAAACTTTGGCTTTTCGAAGTTAGTTTTCTTTCTTTTTTATAAAAACAGAAATTCAAGATTAGGAAACTCTTTCTTTACCTTTTTAAGTTTTTAATATTACACTAGTAATATGAAAAACTACAATTTATATCAATATATTTTTTACAATAGTCGAAATCGCAGAAGAAAATAAATATTTCCTGTGTCTTGATCAGCCACCTCTGTAAATGAGGTTTTTTAATATTGTATACCTAATAGATTTAAATAGATTTAGATCCCTTTTACAATTTACATTGCATCTTTACTATCCATTACAATTCGTTCCCCTCACCACTGAATAATCTCTAATTAGAATAAGCATCTTGTGGAGATTATCAATTATTATGCAAATGTCTAATGGACAAAGTCCCACCTCAAAATTGCTACTCGCTTTTACTAATTTCGGTTTAATTGAGGCGCAGTGGCGTTAATGAACCATAAAAAACATAAAACAAAGACCCAGCACAGTGGGTCTAATAGTTAGCTCCAGTTTTCAACTCTCGGTTTCCATGGTGCACCGAGTGAAAGAAGGGCAAAAGTCGAGGTACTAAAACAAACATCTAACAAAAGAGCCAACTTTCCCAAAGGCGGTTGCACTGTCTGGTGGGCGTGACCCTCGATATATTCACATGTGCCACAATTTGCGTCTTTCACAGTTTTCCAGTTCTTCGAGTGTCAACTGTCCGTCGTCCGCTAATGACAATGTCGGGTAAAAGTCTGTGCCCCACAGAGACTTAGAGAGAGGAGAAATCCTCGGATTTGCATGGCAGTGTGAAAAACCGAGAAAAGGCGAATGACATTAACTTTAGAATCAAGTTATTAGGGTCATATGAAGGGGTTATAGGGGAAAATTGTGACAAAAACTATGGGAACTCTAGAGATTTGCATTCCAAAAAGCGCCAAATACATTTATAAGCCATTAAAAGACAACATTTTTGGATTTCCCTTTTAGGTATAAAACTATAACAATTCCAAACATTTTGCTTTAATCAACTTTTAACTATGAGCAGTAAGTAACTCTGAACAGTAAGAATCTATGAGCAGTAGGTAACTCTGAACAGTAACTATCAATGAACATTAAGTAACTATGATCAATAAGTAAATATGAACAGTAATTAACTTTGAAGAGAATGACCAATAAATAACTATGATCAATAAGTATCAATGAACATTAAATAACTACGATCGGTAAGTAAATCTGATCAGTAAGCAACTATGATCAGTAAGTAACTCTGAATATATGATCAGTTGAACACTAGTAAACAATGACTTGCAACTTTTAAAACACAACACATATCTGAGACTTGGCTGGCAGAAGTCACTTCGTTCCGGGGATGTTTGAACCAGTTGGGAATCATATGCCACGTGTGCGAAAGTTTTGTTTTGGTACAAATTTAAGCTATTTGAAGGAAACTACGCAGTTATTCTTGTATATAATTTTACTAGTATATAGATCGGAGCATGACGAATCGGTGGCCTATATATATACATATATATAGCTGCAATAGGAACAATCGGAAGACTCATAGAACTATGATCAGTAATTAACTATGACCAGTAAGTAACTCTGGTTAACAAGTATCTATGACCAGTAAATAACTTTGACCAGAAAGTATCTATGATCACTAAGTAACTCTAAGCATTAAGTAACTCTGAACAGAAAGTATACATGCCCAGTAAGTATGTATGTATGACCAGTTACTAACTTTAAACACTGATAAACAATGACTTGCAACTTTTGTAACACAACACATATCTGAGACGTGGCTGGTAGAAGTCACTTCGTTCCGGGGATGCCTGAACCAGTTGGGAATCATAGGCCACGTGTGTGAGAGTTTTGTTTTGAAAAAATTTAAGTTATTTAAATGAAACTATGGAGATATTCTTCTATATAATTTTACTAGTATATAAATCGGAGCATAGCGAATCGGTGGACTATATATATACATACATATATATAGCTGCAATAGGAACAATCAGACGATTTATAGAACTATGATCAGTAAGTCACTATGAGCACTAAGTAACTCTGAACAGTAAATATCTGTGAGCAGTAAGTAACTCTGAACAGTGAGTAACTATGATCAGTATCTATGACCAGTAAGTATTTATGACCAGTAATTAACTATGATTAGTAAATATCTACGAGCAGTAAGTAACTCTGAACAGTAAGTATCTATAATCAGTAATTAACTTTGAACACTGATAAACAATGACTTGCAGCTTTCGTAACACAACACGTATCTGGGACTTGGCTGGCAGCAGTCACTTCGTTCCGGGGATGCTTGAACCAGTTGGGAATCATAGGCCACGTGTGCGAGAGTTTTGTTTTGGTACAAATTTAAGCTATTTGAATGAAACTATACAGTTAGACTTCTATATAATTTTCCTAGTATATAAGTAGGAGCATGGCAAATCGGTGGACTATATATATACATATATATAGCTGCCATAGGAACGATTGGAAAATTTTTAGAAAAAACAAATATAACTTTTACAATTTTCAACAGATTTTCATCAAATTTGGGATATAGTCATTATATATTAATCTAGATTTTTGTGTTAAATTTTATTAAAATCGGACGGCTATATCATATATATATATCAATATACATCGATTTTTTAACATAACAAATTCTTCGACAAATCAATACAATATTTAGTTGCAATTTACTTTATTGTATTGTATTTAAAATAATTAAGTTACCGAGAGGCTTTGGTGGCAGTTCAACTGTGAGAGAATTCAGAAAGTGAAAACAGATCTAAGAACAAATTTCCATGAAGAGGTTTGAAAGTGAAAACAATAACACACCTAAATATTGTTAGTTTCAAAGAGTTCCATATTAATTTTAAGCTTTAGTTTCCTTCATTCTAATGAAATTTTGTATGCTACTTCGTAGCTTCGACAAGTGACAGATCATTAAATTAGCAACCAAATGCACAGCCCACACATCGATGTTAAAACCAAACGCACTTTCAGTCCGGGGGAACCTATGGGACATATGTGTGTGATTATGCAGATTTATGACTTCAACACTTGCAACTGATAGCAAAAAGGCAGTAAGTTGTTAACAAAGTTGTTTGTTTATGAGGCGCTTGGCTTAAATTATGGCCAGGAATTAACAACAATTTAGCGGGCTCCGACATGTCGCCAGCTTCCACAATCATTAGCAACGACACTTGGCCCGATCCGATAACTAAGTATCTTGGGGTCCCCCATATGCTTCCCATTATCTATGTGGGCCCCCAAGTGGGCGTCTCAAATTGAGTTTAATTAATCATTTTGTCATAGAACTCTCAGCTCTAATTAAATTCAATTTCAGTCTCAGGTCCGGGCCAAGAGCCGTTCGATATTCAATCGATCGATTGGGACGGTCGATCGACAGCTTAAAAATTTTTGTTATTAAACTATTACGAAATCTAGTCTCGGTAAAGCGCTATAATTGGTCTTACTTTATTTCTTCACCGTTCTTTTTTTTTCTCAAATTAAAAACTTCCAAATTGTTGCATGCTACTTAAGATTTTTTGGCAGTGGCAGTGCACATTGGGCCTTAACCTAAATAATTGGTCTTTAATAATATATGAGATATGTATTAAATATATAAACAAATAATTGTAGCACTGTATAAAAATCTCATAAAAAATAGTATATATACATATATTTAATACATATATTTAATACATTTTCCATATTTTATTTGATACAAATTATTTATGCTTATTTTCCTCTAACTTTTGTCTCAAAAGTCAGGTCAAAAACTCTACGAATATTTTAGACTTTGTATGGAAAATATTTATCGTTTTTTATTATGAATATTGAAGTCTTAAAGCGTTTTATTTGAATGCAATATATTTTTAAGCTAATAGATATATTAATCTAATATAAAACTTGAAATTATCATTCCTAAAACAAGATACAAATTGAAGCGTTGTGTTCTTATTCTTATTTTAAATATTTCTCAATTCATTTGATATTCGTTATCAATTAATAGTATAGTTAACAACATATTATTCGTGAAAATTAATAAAATCTTAAGATTTTATTTAATTTAAAGGCAAATTTTTTTATTATTAATAATTATCTCAAAGAGTTCCTTAATATTCTTTAAAATAACTGAAACCTATAACAGAAGAAACCTATAATTGTTCCTGAAAATGTCAAATGTTATTTAATGTTTTAAATATAAATTATCTTAAAGAGTTTTTAAATAATCTTTGATCTCTAAAATCTCTTGAATAAGAATTTTTTAAGTATTTTCTTAAATAGAAAGTTTATCTTTATTTTTATCACACATTCATATTGCATATTACATGCATATAATTGCAATTAACTACCTAAATAGTAGAACGACTAGACTTTAGTCTCTGTGACTCCTACTTCAACCCCCCCCCCTGCAACTTAGACCCCCCTTGCAACTAAGACCCCCCTTTTTAAGCCACGCCCCTTTGGGTTACTGCTTTGCATTTGTCGCTTGTCGTTCGTCTGGTTTATTGCACTTTTGGCAGCTAATATTT